GATAACGTGAGACATTTATTTATTTATTTGATATTTTTATACAGGGTTTCTCTGTGTAGCTTTGGAGCCTGTCCTGGAACTCGCTCTGTAGATCAGGCTGGCCCCTTTGGACCCCACCAGAGGCTAGGTACCTTTGATGGATGGATGGACAGATAAGAAAAAAGACTGCTTGCTTCTCTTTCAGAAGAATGGAATTCACAGCCCAGCCTCTTAGTGGTTTACAATTGACTGCAATTCCATGTCCAGGAGGTCTAACGCCCTCTTTCTGCATCCAGGGGCATCAGCACATACTCAGACATAGACACATAGACACCCAAATAAATAAACATTAAATTTCCAAGCCGGGCGGTGTTGGCGCACGTCTTTAATCCCAGCACTTGGGAGGCAGAGGCAGGCGAATCTCTGTGAGTTCGAGACCAGCCTGGTCTACAAGAGCTAGTTCCAGGACAGGCTCCAAAACCACAGAGAAACCCTGTCTCGAAAAACCAAAAAAAAAAAAAAAAATTAAATTTCCAAAACAAAGAATTATTCTCCAATAATGCAGATGCGCTCCCCCCCCCCCAGAAGCTGGAGGCAAGGAAACATGAACCCTGAAGCCCACTAGGGAAATGCAGTTCTGTCTACCCTAGTGGGATGCCAAATTTTCAGGAGACTGGACTTCCAACATGTACGACTGAAATCTGCTGTTCCTATTGTTTTAAGTCACTAAATTTGAGGTCGTTCAGAAACCCACACAGGCAATTCTCTCTTATGTTATGGTAACTTGTGCATTCCAAGACACGTGTTCACTCTATTTTAGTCTTCCTACTGGACCGATGTTGGCTGTGGCAGTCATAAGTCTTGTTACTGTAAGGTAGGTAGTGATGTCTTTGCAGTCAAACTGCTGAGCATCTCTTTGTGCTGCTCCCCCCTCCTCCTCCCCACCCCTCTCTTTCTGGCCTATAACTTGTTACATGGAGCAGGCTAGCCTCACCCTTGTAGCAATCTTCCTGCCTCTGCCTCCCAAATGCTGGGATCACAGGTATAACTGCCATAGCTGGAATAGGATGGGCCCATCTGGACCCATCAGTTTTATTGACTCAGTGAGCCAATTTTTGGGTTGATTTTTTCTACTCATTTCCTAATTTCTGTTTCATGATTTCCATTTTGAGTTTGATTTCTTTGGTTTCTCCTTGTTAAATCTATAAATTAGTTCTAAAGCAATTGCCACGGACCGCCTCAGGGAAGCCACTCAGACCGTGGGAGAAGCAGGGTCTTGGTAACGGGAAGGCACAAGTTTGGCAAATGACAGACAGACACAACACACAAGAGAGTGGTTGGAATCTGCTGCAATTTTACTGAATTCATGTTTTCATTATATAGTATTCAAACAAAGAACAAATCAGAAGGTCATGTGTCATTGGTTGGCACAGTATGAAAGCTTCTTTTAGTCACATCAGCGATATTTAAGAAAAGTATATTATTAGGAACAGGTGTTAGACATAAAGCATCCTTAGAAGAGGAAATCTTGTCCTTGGGAATGTAAACCTCAGGCAAGTGGTTTCATCTTATGAATAGAAAGTTTCTGTCTCATTAT